TGAGTCAGCCAGTGAATGAAAATCACAGGGGATATTATTTCCTGAGTACAGCAGTGTGAAGAAAAAGGGAACTGTGTTACTAAGTAGGGCTAGTGAGGGTTCCGCCTGCATCCTTCCCCCTCCCATGGTCTTGTCCCAGGTCTTTATGTCATGTGATACTAGCTTTCTGGTCCAGGAATCACCCAGGAGCTTGGCAGAGTCAGGAAAGGGCACCTCTGAAATTCTGGGATCTGGAAGGCTCTGCTGAGTGGTGCTGCTTCTTGAGGAGAGTGGGTGGGTCTCATCAGCTGGAAGGAAAGATAGCTGGTACCATAATTGCATCCTCCAAATCAAGCCACATGTCAAGACGCTAGAACTGGGGGCCACCTGGAGTCTGAAAGAGGCAACTGCTGTGAACTCTGCTTTGCTCAGCTAGCAAAGTGCAGAGGCTGTTGCTGCTGTGGTCAGAGCCTGTCTGTCTGCACCTTACCCACCACACTGATGGCTCTCTGAGGGCAAGACTGTGTCTTACTTTCCTCAGGATCCCCTGCAGGCTGATCAGTGACTGTAGGGCTTACAGGCCATGGCTACAACAACTTGTCAGATTAAACTAACCACCCTTATTGGTGACATTGACTAATAATGGACATGCTTTCTGCAATGACAGTGATATAATTTTGGACAAAATATTCATGTGTTCGCATGTTTTTTGGTAGCAGACCTTGGCTTAATTATGTCCAGAGGGGCCTCCATCTTCTCTACAGGTGGAGTTAAGGCTTCTATTGTAGCAAATAGGACCTTCCAGGTCTCACTCTCCTTTGGCGCTTTGAACCTGGAGGACACACGCCCACAAAGTTCTTTCAGTGAATGGAGATGCACCTAATCCCCATTAAGGCCAACCTGAAGTCAGGAAGGAGGAAGAGATGACATAGGGGAGAGAAAGGAAAATAGCCTCACTGTAAGCCTAGGAATGAAGAAGCGATAACGAGGAGAGAGAGGAAGGGATGAGAGTGAAGGGCTCCGAGGTGAGCCTTCAGTTAGACAAGTTGAAAAGGGCATGAAGCATCTTGTCTCTGTAAGCAGTCAGTCAGCAATGACCTTGTGCCAGACACTGCACTGATCTTCCTTTATGGGTGCAGACTGGGCCAGCTGAACCTGAATGGATCACAGACTGGTTAGGCCTTCCCAGTTGGTGTGACTCAGAGTCCCCAAGTGTTTATTTAGAGTTGATATGCAGGGGGAGGGGAGAGTCTTTAAGAAGGATATTTATGCATGTTCCCTGGAGACAGAGCTAGAAATGGAGGAGTCTGCAAGGTGTCTGTCACTCAGGTTGGCCCTGGGGGAGAAGACCAAGGCCTGTATATATACTGGGGCTGTAGGGCCAAAGCTGGAGGGATTGTTTTCTTTATCTGTGAAGCATAGGTAGAGTTGCTTCTGGGCTGAGCTGTGACTCAGTATGGGGAAGAAGCATCCTTGCTTCTTCATGAGGCATGCTTGGCTTCTGAAGGGACTGTGGCCTGTAAAGGCTTAGGGGGACTGAGGTGGATAACAGAAATGTCTTAAGTAATGTGAACACTGACTCTAAGCCAGTGCAATGTGTGTATTAATACTGCCTCATTTATACCCACAGGCTGGTGAGGCCTGGAGCTATTTGAGGCACACATGCTTTATTCCATTTGATTCTTACAACAATTCAATAAAGTAGGCATTATTAACCAAGCTTTATAGATGAGGGAAGTGAGACACAGAGAGGCTAAGTGACTTGCTTAAGTGACCCCATTAATAAGTGGTTGGACCGTGATTAACTTTTAAGGGTACCTTCTTAGCCACTTCTCCAACACTGCCTTCCAAACACAGTGGGAAGGCTGAGTCACCCTATTAATTAAGGCAGAAGTCATGGAGAACAGCCATATCCTCACAAGGCCTTTTGGTCTTTGGGGGAGGAGTTTTAGGCTATAGGGATGATGTCCTTACCCAGGGGGACATTTCTAGCATTCTCTGGGAAGATAACAAAGGACAAGCTAGGGAATATCTCTGGGGATAAAAGGACCCGTCTAGTCCCAAGGAAGGGGGAGCATAGCATTACTGAATGACAGTGATGATGCTTTCCTATGGAGCTGTAGAGACCTTTTCAGTTTCCAAAGCATTTACCCTCATATCAGTTCATTTGAAAGTTCACAGAAACCCTGTGAAGCAAAAGCATATATGCCTATTTTTCAGAAGGGGAATGAGGCCCATAGAGCTTCAAAGACTTATCCAAGACCATGTGGTCATTAAATGTAAGAATCATGCTAGACATCTCCTGACATCCCCTTCATCATTCCTTCCTCTTTACCAGGTGGTCCCTCGTGCCATGGTGGGGTAATTGTCTTTATGTAACAGAGACTGACATTATGGCTGAGGCAGTCAGAGGACCAGACATGAGGGTGATGCCCGAAGAGAGGCAGACATTCAAATGAAGGACATGATCTTGGGTGCAGTGCCAGCCACAGAGTGGCACCCATTTCACTCAGATCTATGCATTTCATAAATATAAAGGCTGATTCTGTATTAGAGTTTCCCAAATACTGTTACATGGAAAACTAGTTTTACCAGATGCTCCATGAGAAAGGGAGTTCTGTGGTCAAGTAATACACATTGTACCCTTCTTCTTTTACAGTAGCAATGCATGATCAAGGTTCTGTAATGTCTTTAAGCAAAGAAACCTTTTTGACTCTGCTTAACTCAAGGTCTCTAAATTTATTTGAACACAAAAACTTCTTTTAAGGCCACCTATTAGCAGCTCATGGAACTACCAAGAACAACTAGTTTGTTTTAATCACTGAATTAATGGTTTGATTTGATATGTGGCAGAGACTTAGGAATTTTTTTATGGCTTTATATTCCAGCCTTATGACACATATATATGTCAGGTGTAAATAAGCCTTGGTGCTAGTTGTTTCATAATTAAAAGACCCAGGGTTAGATTGTGCCCATGCAAGCATTCTAAAGTTCATAAATTAAAAATGAAATCTCATTATAATATCAATAAGATTTTAAAATATTATGTATTTTCGCTGGTAATTCACGATAGAATAAATGTCAAGGAAAACTGTGAGTCTGCTCTCTATGATGGCATATGTGGTTTGAGAGAATTACCTATTGGAGATTTTTGAAATGAGCAAGGCTGACATTTTATGCAGGTCATTTATCATCTTCCTACCTATGGATTGCAGCAGACACTTGACATTCATGATGAGTGTTTCTTGAGACCTTTATGATTCTCCTAATTAGCAAATACCACTAGAGTAAATAATTTCCCTCACAAAACCTCTTTCTTCTGACCAAAACTGTCATGTTCATAGAGTGTTTTCACTTTTTCTTCTCATCCATCACCAGGGCTGTTTTGTACTTGGTAGTTGACAATGAGAAGGAACATATAGGCTCTGAAGTGGTAGCCAAACTCTGGACTTGCTCAGTGATTTGCCCTCAGTGACTGTGTTGCTCAGTTGGATTTATGTTTCAGAAAAATGGTGAATGCTTGCATTTTCATGGGCTGTTGGAATTGCTTGTGAATAGCCAAAACTGTGAACGTAAATCTGCAAATGCCAAACATTGTCTTTTCTTTGGGGTGTCAAATACATCTTCACCTTTCACCCTGTGTTGGGAAGCAGGAGAATACTGTGGCTTGGGGAAGGAAGGAAATGCTAGAAACTCAGGCTTGTTACCATTCATTACCAAGCAGTCTCTTCCGCAGGGTTTCTTTGAACCCCAAGATCATGGATATCTCAGCACCTTTAGGAAGGGATTGCTGTGCTTTGCTGAAGCGCCTCAGTGAGCCCTTGAGATAAGCTAAAAAGTGAGTTTCCCTACACTAAGTAAATAGGATTGTACATACTTGAAACTGCAGCCTGACTCCTCCCTTCCTGTAATTCTATGCTTCTGAAGATTAATCTAAGGCCACATTTCCCATGATTTATCAATTTTATCTTCAGGACTCAGAGTCTTTGAAAAAAGCTCTTTTTCCTAGAAGTTTTGATTATTATTAAAAGGACAGGAAGATTTTTATCAAACTTGGAAGCTCTCTCTAGATGAATACCACAGATATACATGGTTTCTTGAAGGATGGTTCATCCTACACAAATTAAGATAATCAGACAAGAGGAGAAATGCCAAGAGGCCAATTTGGGGGCATTGGAAATCCCCCCCAGTAGTCACCCTGTAAAAGAGCTGGAAAAAAAAAACCAAGCCCTTGAAGACTGATCAGCCATCTTGCTTATGTGGAAAGCACATTGGTATTTAAGCATATGGGTCTTTGGAGCTCTGCAGTTTTCATCAGGATGAATGATGTCGTCTAACATAAGAGCAGATTCTAAAGAATCCAGAGTATATCCAAAGTGGAACCCTAATTGAATTTTGCTCCTTAGGGACTCAGTCTGACCAGCCACTGTGGGTGTGAGGGCTACTGGGTGCTGGTGGCCATTAAAGACACCTTGAGGTTGATTGAGGAGCTGGGACTTACTCTTTTGAAAGTCTAGTCATGCTTCCTATTAAAGCTTTTCATAAGCCTTGAGAGTGAAATTCCTCTGAGCCTCCCAGAACCGTGGATCCCACAAATCCTCTACACTAAGACATTTTCTACACAAGTCCCCAGGCACACAGGGAAAGCTCAATAAATGCCGTTCACAGAGCTGAGTGATATGTTTTTCATGAAAGCTTGGGAATCGGCCTGCTAGCTGATGGGAGCGTTCACTGTAATCTTGTCCTTGCTAGTGGCTTGGAGGTTGAGAATCTGCTCTATTGTTCTCCAGGCTTGAAGCCTGTTCACGGAGTAACTGTCATGATTCACCTCTCTCTCCTGGTGGGCTGGGGGTGAAGAAAGGAGCTCTGAGCAGTCCTGCAGGTCTGGAAGTTCTGTCTAGAGGCAAGTCGGGTACTCAGTGTTGTTACCATCCCCTTGTGGGAACAGAAAACAAGCATGAACACAAAGGTAGGCCAACAGCCCTGGAGCTGGGAAGGCCGGGAGCGGTGGGGAAGCTTACCTTCTTGACTTCGTATTTAATGGCGAGTTTGATCCGGCTCAGACTTGGACGGTGGTGGTCGGACCAGACTTGGAAGTTCACATCACCATTTAAAATCGCTTCCACCTCTTCTGTGTCTCGGCACAGGTCCAGCACGCCCACCACAAAATCCTTGCATTGCATAGATAACTTCCTGTAATCGTTCTAACAGAATAAAGAGAAATCAGGGGTGTGTCACACTGAGCCCCACAGGTGGGCTTGCCTAGCATAGCAGTGTCGCTCAGCAAAGCTGTGCACCAAGCGTGAGCTTAGAGTGCGTTGGAACCAGAGGGTGTGCTGGATCCAGAAGGCAGGGCACAACAATCTAGAGGGCATCTTCTCTAAGCCAAGAGTCGTCAAGGTGTGCTCCTCAGCCACCTCTATCAGAGTGACCTTGGGTGCATGCTATAACTATGATTTCCAGGCCCTGTTGCAGACTTACTGACTTAGAATTCCTGGGGATGAGGCCCAGGAATCTTTTAACCTTGTTCTTTAAGTAATTCTGAAGCCTGCCAAAGCCCACCCTGAGCTCTTTGAAAGCAGCAGTTCTCCTTGCCTAATTTTGAGCCAAATCTGAGGGAGGAGTGATAAGGAAATGCACTTTTAAGGCTGATGGAAATATCACTTAAATCATTTACTACCGATCTGTAATGGCAACTGCTCTACGCAGGAAGTTTACTGGAAAGATACGGCTGATATGCTAAATTTGGGGGAAAAATGTACACAGGTGTGCTTTCTTTTAACGTGCTGGAAAATCTGCTTGTAAATTATAAATTTAAAAATCAAATGTAATTTAAATCTAACAGAATCCTTTCCTACCACAGATCCTTTTGTACAGCAAATCATGACACCTTAAATTACTTGCCTGTTGAATAATCATTTTCAGACCTTGACCTCCTTTTTGTTTTGTTTTGTTTTTTTTAATGAGTTGCCTCTGGGTTTCTCTCATCTCCTCCCTAGGCATACGTTTCTAAATTATCTTTCAGAGGCTGACTGCCTTTCCTAGTGACATGCCAACTTCTCTCTCCCCTAAAACACACTGCTTCAATTCCAGATAACGATCCGAAATGTTGGACAAAAGAATGTTTCATGTCACCTTCAAACCACTACGCCCCCAAAATATTTTCCCCTAAAGGCTTCCTTATTGGTTTCTTAGTTGAAACAAGTCTATTCAGAAGCAACACAAGAACCAAATGTCACTTTCAGTGTTAATCAATGTCGAAAGCCCTGAGAGTAGTAAATAGTAGTTGGTAGATAGGAGTGCAGTTTTGCTTTTCCAGAACCTGGATTCCTCAGCACATAGATGGGAGGCTGAAAAACTGCAGAAGCTCAACAATTTTTCTAAATTAATGATTCGTTTCTCCTTGCAGCACTGCTGCTTCAAAATGTCCCTTTACGTTAGAGAAAGAAGTAAGTGTTGATAAATGTCTGTTTGCTAAAAGGAAAAGGGTCAAGAAAATGTTTTCAGACAAGAGTGGCTGCCCTTCATTTCTATATATCATTTAGGGATAAGCAGGGTGTTTTGGAAATGCTGGGTAGAAAAATGACGCTCAGCTCAGGCAGACTGTCATGGGCAAGTCAGACTGTGCCGTCCCAGAGCCTCTGCGCATTTCTGGGTTCAGTGCAGTTCAGAACAGAAGGTACCACCTCATTAGAGACTTGCACTTCCCTGGGCTCTTTCAGCTAGCCGGGCCATAAAAAAGGGATACACACCAGAGCAACCCAAACGGCTGGTTTGCTTTTTGCCTTCTGTATCAGTCTGCAAGGCAACATGCCTGGTGTCTGCAGATGGCTGGAGGAGGCAGGCCTGGGCCTGCCAGGAAGACAGAGATGACCTGGACATGGGTAGATGGGACATGGAATAGATGCAGACGGGAGGGTCATGCCAGGCCCAGGCCTCCCAGAGAGAGCCATGGGCGCACATCTCTGCGGAGTTGTGATGATTAGGAGAAATGGGTCAACCCTGAGCTCAGCGAGCCTTTGAGCCACACTCCTCAACTTGAGTTGGAAAGATGAGACATATACCTAAGCCTTCACAGGTGCCCTTTTACAAATAATTCCATATTCCTGCACACTGAAGTCTGCCAGGCCCAGTGGGTGACAGCTGTTCTACCTCCATCATCTTACTTAATCCTTATAAAAACTTCATGTTAGAAGGACTGTCAGCATTTCCAGCTCACAAGCAAGAAAACTGAGACTCAGGGAGAGAAACTAACAGGCTGAATCCACTTTTCCTTATATTGGTCACTTACTCATCTCTGGTTACTCTGTCACCTTCCTTGAAGATTGTAGCTTCTGTCTTACTGTCGCTCTCCCAGCATTAACTGCTGTTGTTATTGGTGGTTTCAGTACCCAAGAAGATGTCCCTTCCATTACCCTGCCCTCTCATTTCCTCGACACCATCTTTTCCAGTGACCTTATCCTCAACTCCAACTCAACCATTCATTCTCTTAGTTATTCCCAGTAACTGCAGCTCCTCCACGACCCTAACTTTAGGTCTCCCTCTCTCTGACCACTACCTCCTGTATGTCCAGCTTTCTTCATCTGGGATCCTAATTCTAGCAGTCCTTTGATTCCATGAAACCTACAAGCCATTGACCACACCACCTTTTCACTGGTTTTCATCCCCCTCAGGTCCCTGTCTCCCTCCTTGCAGAGCTTCTCTTTTATGGGTAGTCTTTATCATCATCCTTGCACACATCAACTCTCTTACCCTCCTCTTATTTTGTCCTCCTCACTGGATGAAAGCCTGACCTTGGTTGCGTCTAGCTCTCCACTACTCTGCTCCAGCCTCTGCACAGTTAACGCGGCTGGAGAGCACACACCTGCACCAAGCAGGCGTGCTGTAAACTCACTACCTCCAACCTCAAGCAGTCCGCAGTGCTCCTGGGCAACTTACCCTCCTCCCTGTCCCAAACAAGCGTTTCATACCTCTCTAGTCTCAGTTTTCTAACACGTCACCCCCCTCCTAGTTTCCTATTTTACTTGGAAAATAGAGCTCATTGGAAGAGAAGCTTCACATGTTCACACCATCCACATAGTCTACTTTCATCTGTGCTCATGGACTCTCTTCCCTCTTCTTACTCTTGCTGCTCCTATCTAAGGCCAGCTCCTCCACTTGTGTGTTGGATATCAGTCCCCTACGCCACTCAAGGACATGGCTCCTGCGCTCTTCCTTTCTCTCCCCTGCACTGTTAATTTCTCCCTTTCTCTGTTGGCTTAGTATACGAACATGTTGCTATTGTCTTGTCTTAAGAAGGAACTCCTCTTGACTCCACTTCCCTCTTCAATTACTACTGTAGTTTTCTGTTCCAATTTATAGAAAAACTCCTCATTAGACTTGTTTACACTCATAGTTGACAGTTGTCCTCCTTACACTCTTTCTTATTCCATTCAGTAAGGCTTTCACACTCTACCCATTGCCTCCACTGAGACTGTCCTTCCAAGGTCACAAGTGACTTTCATATGCTAAATCCAGTGGTTGGTTCTCACTCCTCATCTTACATGACCTGTTAGGTGCTTTGACATAGCTGATCACTTCCTCCTTCTTGATACACATTCTTCACTTGGCTTCTAGCATAACATACTTTTCTGTGGTTTTTCTTCCTGAATGAGTACTTTTGCATCTTTGTTGATTAATTCTCATGTCCCTGATGTCTTAGTTTTAGAATGCCCCAAAGATGTGCCCAGTCCTTTGAATTCTCCCGTCTGTTTACACTCATTGCCTTAGTGATCCTGTCTAAGATCATTAGATACCATCCATATGCTGAGGACTTCAAATTTTATGTCTTTAGCTCAGCCTTCTCTCCTGAACTTGAGTCAGATATATCCAATTACCATCTTGGTATTTCCACTTGGATGCCAAATAGGCATTTCAAACTTAATGAAACTAACTCTGGACCTGGTCTTCTCCACCTTGTTAGTATTCCCCAACTTCTCAGTTGTCCAGGACAAAAAATCTTGGATTTATCCTTGATTCCTCTCTTCTTCTCGAAACAGACATATAATTTAGTAGCAGATCCTACCAGCTCTACCTTCTAAAAAAATATATCTATATATCTATATCTATCTATCTATCTATCTATATATAAAAGATCTGACCTCTTTTCACCAATTCTACTATTTCTACCTTGGTCTAAGCCATTATCATCTCTTGCTTGGACTAACCAAGAGACTCTTAACTGGCCTCCCTGATTCTATGATTCTATCCTGGTCTTCTATAGTCTATTCTCCATACATCAGTCAGACATTTAGGAAAAGTAGTCAGGTCATGGCACTGGTCTGCTCAAACCCTCCAGTGGCTCCCCATCCACTCAGAGTAAAAGTGGATTCATTATACTGTCCTATAAGGACATACATTATCTAGCCTCTCCATTCTCTCACTGATTTCATTTCCTGTGGTTTTCTCCCTCCCTCAGTCCACTCCAGCCACTCTGACCCCCCTGCTATTCTTCAGACACACTTGGCATGGACTAGACCTTTGTACTAGTTATTCTCTTTACTTGGAATGCTCTTTCGCCAGGTATCTACATGAACAACTTTTTTAACTCCTTCAAGTCTTTGCTCAAATGTCACTTTCTCAGAAGACTTCCTTGACTGTCTTTAAAAAATTGTAACCCTTCTCCATTTGCAATCACCCTTTCCTGCTTTTTTTTCTTCATAGTACTTATGACTATATGACATCCATTATTTATTATAATTATTGTCCATATCTTTCACTAGAATGTAAGCTTCTCGAGGGCAGGAATCATTGCTGTTTTGTTCACAAGTATATCATTAGAGCCTAGAATATTTCCTGGAACATGATAGGCGCTCAGTAAATGCTTGTTGAATCTGTTGGAGCAGTGTACTTGTCTAAGATGACATAGCGACTAAGTGGTAGAACCAAGATTCAAGACAGGTCAGTATGACCCAAATCCTGTGCTCTTCCCTCTCACCATGTTTCCTCCTCTTGGTGAGCAGCGTGTTCCCTTCTACTTAGCACGCTTAAAACTAGAGACTTAATTGGGGCTGGCTCTCAACTAACTTGGAGAAATAAAGGGTGGGCTGGGATATGGATATTTGAATACCCCGCAGATTCTGTAGTGTAGTAGATGAGTGCACAGGTTTTGAAGTCAGAAAGACCTGGAGTTTGAACTTCTTTT